ACCAGCACAGTTTGCTGGTCAGAAGGATCCATGATTGAGGTCAAGGTGGGTGGTGCAGGGGGGGATGACAAGACCCCTGATATGGGAGACCCATCGCTAAAGCTCTCCACCTGGGTGATTAAGAAAACTTCACACCCTTTAATCGTCATTCTAAATTACAAAAAATTATCCCACAATCGAATTATTTCAGACCACTTCCAACAACCTTGTAATTAGCCCACCACCTTCTCCTGGGCAGCTGGCAACCTTCTGGACAACCAGGCAAGGAGAGCCAAGTTCCCGCCCTCACCCCTTTGTCGCCTTGGGTTTGTACTCAGTACTTCAGTTTTTTCAAATTACTGTCTGGCGCTTGTCATAACTAACACACAGCGAGCATCGCCCTGTGCCAGGCACTCTTCCAAGTAGTTTACAGAGGACGTCACTTCCAATGGCCAAACCACGTATGGGGTTCTTTACAAGCAGTCGCTTTGTGTGCAGTGACTTACCGAAACCCTTTCGCTGACGCTCAGGGCGCCTCCACTTCATCCCGACACTCTACCTGTTCTCATTTTGTTTAAAATGTTGTGTTTGGAGATGTAAGTATATGTTTTCCTAAATAGACATGGGCCAAAAGTAACTTTGGAGCATGAAACGTAAGGTCTAAGATGTTTGAGTAATAAAAACTAAGCTGTTTTCTCCTGAGGAAAAGTGAATCGAGGAGGTGACCTTGAGTCGACCTTCTAGTCATTTAGCTCCCCATCCTCAAGCTTTATTCTTGGTAACCTCCCTGGATGGAGAGGCACAGAGAGGCCAAGGACCTTGCGCAGGGTCACCCAGCTGGTACGTAGCTATGTTGAGGTGGCAGCCGGGGGAGTCCGACATCAGTGCGCTGTGCCCCTTTGCACAGTGGGACTCCTGAACACAGCGCTTGCTAGTCTTAGAGGCAGTGTCTGCATTCCAGACACTGGTGTGTTTTTTTAATTTAAAAAAACAACAAAACACACAAACATTTACTGAATGCTGTGTTCATATGTGTCCTAGGGATGTGTATGTGTTTTATAATATTAAGACAATTTAAAAACTGTGTTTAGAAAAAGAATTACCTGTACATGGTAACAAAAATTCAAGTAGTACCAACAGTGTGTGGGATAAAAGTGTAGCCCTGGCCGGTGTGGCTCAGTTGGTTGGATGTCGTCCAGTGCACCAAAAGGTTGCCAGTTTGATTCCCAGTCGGGGAACATGCCCAGGTTGTGGGCTGGATCCCTGGTAAGGGGTGTGCAGAACCCCTGCTCTCACATCGATGTTTGTCTCTCTTTCCCTCTCCCTTCCTCTCTCTCTCAAAATCAATACAGAAATATTTTTAAAGGTGTGTCCCCATCAGCTTCTGACCCCAGGCCTCCTCCCAGAGGGAGCCATGGTTCCTTGTGCATTGTCTCTGAGCTATTCTGCACATGTAGGTGTTTATAAACACCTCCCTTCTTTATACAAACAGTAGCATAATTACAGTACATAGTATGCATCCCGTATGTTCCTTTTTTTTTTTTTAATATATCTTTATTTCAGGCAGAGGGAGGGAGAGATAGAAACATCAGTGATGAGAGTCATGGGTCGGCTGCCTCCTGCACCCCCTACTGGGGATCGAGCCCGCACCCTGGGCATGTGCCCTGACCAGGAATCGAACCGTGATCTCCTGGATCCTAGGCTGACACTCAACGTCTGACCCCCACCGCTGGGCCCATATGTTTCTTGATTGCTTTCACTCAGCAATCCATACTGTTGCTCACTCCACATCAGAACATATTCTTTTTGACAGCTGCGTAATATTCTCTTTTGGGGAACTCCCGTGTTGTATTTAAGCAGCTCCGTATTGATGGGTCGCTTGCAGTCTACCATTAACCATAAACAGAGCCTCCATGACCATCTTTGCAGTTGACTTGGTTGGGCAAGTGAACAAGTTTTGATGTAGGCGGAGTTCCTGGAGGAGGAATTACCGGGTCAAACGGTTTATACGGAAAGTTCCAAAGAAGAAATGGAGGAAAGTGACTAACAGGTGAAGCACCTTGCCCGAGACCGCAGCGTGCTCTCGGTGAGCCTGGGCAGAAGGCAGGCTCCCGGCCCCCACCCGCAGCTCCCTGCTTTCCTTTATTCCTTCTGGTTGAAACCAGCCATAAGCTTTGGGTGAGAGAAACGTCTGGAGTTTCAGATATTTACTTCTGGTTAAGTGAGCAGAGTGCCACGGGCACCATGTATCAAGAAGGCTGAGGACAGGCCTGGACCCTGGCGGCTCCTCGCCTCCACATTGATGAGCGATCAGTTCTTACGGAGTTTTACCCCGACGGGTCTCGTAGTTATGAGGTGTAACACACTCAGCCGCCGTGACACATGAACCCAGATGTTTACGATGACTCAGACACAATCCATGTTTCCTTCTTGCTCGTCTAAGGTTGCAAATGGGGGGCTCCTCCAAGCGGGGATCCGGGCTGCTTCTGCTTTCTGGCTCCGCCGTCCTCACACGTCTGTGGCTCCCGTGTTCATCAGCATCCCGCTCATCCGTGTTCACCTTCCCTGTCCCCCGACCTGGGGGCTTCGCTGCGTGGGACGGGCCGGCAAGGCTCCGCCGGTCCCTTTAAATGTGCGCCCAGGAGGGAGTGGGGGGGGTGCCGGTGCGTTTGCAGGGCTGCAGCCCCGCTCCCGGCAGGTTTCGAGGGAATTCCCGGGACATGGTGGACAGGGGCTTGGGAAACAGCGAGAGCAGCGGGGAGTCTGGTGCGTGTGCGCAGCATGACTCGAGGCCTGTGATCTTGCAGTCTTTCTGTCCAGCTCTCGCCGAGCCTAGGAAAACAGCCTGGAAGGCATGAGTTACAGGGGTGTCTCTGGCCTCAGTCTGGCGCAGCAGAGGCCTCCCGTGTGAGGGACAGTTTGCCGGTGGCACTAACAGTCATGACGAGGACTTGGTGTTGTCCCATTATAACTGCGTGGCTCCGCAGCCCCCCACTCGGTTGGCTTGGCTGGGCTTTCTCAGCAGTAATGCTGAATTGGTGAGAGTACAGCACAGAATCAGAATTTGCTTTACTGCAGGAAATATTCTCAGTCTAGAACAAGCTTTTAAACCTTGCTTGCAAGTCTACATTGTGCACCTGAAACTAATATAATACTGCATGTCAACTGTAATAGAAAATAATAATAATAATAAATTGTTTGTGAATGAGCTTCTACACACACACACACACACGCTTCCTGTTACCAAGGAACTGACCAGACCAGTTTTATAACTTACATGTGATGCCCAAATACACATGAGAAATGAATGAAAACGCCCCAGGGGGGCTTCTGAGAATCAGAAGCATGTGTCCTGAACTGACACGGGGCTGGGGTGCCAGGCCGTGAAACCCGAGTGGAGCCTGGCAGGGCCCTGGCCTTTAATCCCTGCTGAGAGGTGGAGCAGGATTGCCCAACCAGCCTGGAAGTTGCTGGCAGTCTTATCAGGCACTTCAGCCTTGGGCTGAATCTGTAGGAGAAAGTTCTGGACGTGTCCGAACAGAGAAGACATTTTTCCAGTGGTAGCCAGTGCTGGGGTCGTCTTGCAGATGCCCACCGCAACCCAGCGAGCCCGCGGAAGAACGCCTTCCAGCCTCCATGGTCTCTGCCTCTGGGACTGCAACCCGAGTTCGAGCCAGGAGCCTGGGCGCTGGGGAAGGTGTGTCCCACTGGCACTTTGAAACTCTAGATAAGCATCTCCTGCTCCTTGCCCCGGCAGCTGGAGAGTGGAAACAACCCAGATGTTGTTAGAAGCCTGGGTAAATATAATGCGTCCAAACCCTGGCTGCTGTGCAGCCATTTGAAGGAATGAGAGTTTCTTGGCGTGCTGATGTGGTTGATCTTATTACCGTAACACCTCTCGGGGGCTGCCCTGGTCCCTGGGTGAGTAAAGCATGTGTCTGCCCCGAAGGTTTCCTCGAGTGTGCAGCCTCCTTTGCTGACCTGTTCCCCTGGGCCGCCTGGTTGGCCAGAGGATCACTTCATCGACCTGGCCCCAGGTCACGGAGAGAGCGTCATTCAAAGACTTATACTCCAGGTCAGGTTGTGTGGGGTGACACCTCCCCACTCCCCCTTTAAGATCGCTGGAAACAACAGTAACAGCAAAAGGCACTAGTCCCTAGTCCCTAAAACAGGAGGTTTAACAGAAGGATGTGCTCCCACTGGGCTGCCCCAGCTCCTGGGAGGGTGATACCCCCACATGTCCCCAATCGTGTCCCCCTAAAGTGACCAAGAGGTTGGGCCTTCACCGTGAAGAATCCGGTAGACCTGAGCACCCCCTCGCCTCCCCAAAGACCAGTTTCACCCCTCTCTCAGCTCCACTTGGTGAAGGCTGAGGTCCCAGACGGCCACCGCCTCCCATGTCCTGGCCGCAGGGGTGGAGGCCGCGGTCTGTGCGTCCAGCTGCCCCCGGGACGGAGCAGGGGCCGCGTAGCTCAGGGGCAGCCTCCAGGTGAGGTGAAGGCCGCAGCGTGCAGGTTGCTGCCGACGTAAAGGGGGGGAAGGAGGTGGTGGGATGTCCGAGGGGACGAGCAGATGCCACCCTGGTTGCCCAGGACCTGTCGTTCATGAGGAAGGGCTTTGAGGGGCAAGACTGCAGGCCAAGGAGGGGACCCATGCTAGGAAGGGAGCCTTGTTCGGGATGAGTAGCCCCCGTCCTGCCTACGGAATGTCCTCAGTGATCGCGGGAGCGTCTGTGCCAGGGCAGAGGGCAGGTGGCTAGTCAGAGTGAGTGTTAGGAAAAGAAAACACCACACTTCTCTCCGCGCTGGTGGTGTCGATGCTGCAGGCCCAAACAAGTCTCGTTGGCATCCGCCCCGCCCTTGCCAGGGTTGGGGTGAGTGCTCGGCCCAGGCTGCCCAGCAGCCTGTGACATGTTGGAATTGCCCCAGATGCGTGGGCTTTGGAGTCAGGCCGTCCTGGGTCTGAATCTCAGCTGTGCATCTTCCCAGCTGTGAATTTCAACTGTTTACCTAAAGAAAATAAATGTACAGAATGTACCCGGCATGTGGCAGATGCTGAGCAAATGGGGGCTGCTAAGTCACTGCCATCATTCCTAGATGTCACCTCCCACGACCCTGGACCCTCTGCAGCCTAACACCTCTGTGCTCTCTAGCGGGAGGCCAGGCTTCCACTGGGTCTCTCCCTCATCTCTCGTTTTCATCTGAGCTGCCCACAGGTCTAGGTGAGGTGACCAGCTATGAGTGTTTTTGGCCACAGCATCACCATCTCCCAGACCCACTCATCCACCTCTTCCCTGCCACCTTCCAGCATCAACACTATAGTTTTATAGTAAATACAGTGTTTTCAGACCTCCCCATTGGTGTGCATTTCCACAAAAGTTGTCCAGGTGGCATAACCCGTCCGTGGTCATAAGTCTGCTCAGAAGGGGAGGCTGGGGTGCCAGGCAGCACCTCCTACTTGTCCAAACCCCTTTCCCTGAGCAGCTTTGCAGGTCCTGCCTGGTTACCCGATCTGGTTACAAGGTCTGTATTGCTTTTCTATTGCTGCACAACAGATTGTCTCAAACCAGCCCTGGTTAATTAGGTCACAGTCCTGTAGGTCAAAAGTCCAGATGTGGTGCAGACGGGTTCTCTGCTCAGTCTCACAGGGCTCGAATCAAAGTGTTGCCCGGACTGCGCTCTTATCTGGAGCTTGGAGTCCCCTTCAAAGCTCACGTGGTTGTAGCAGAATTCAGTTCCCTGTGGCTGGAAGTCCGAGGTCCCTCTTTCCTTGCTGGCTGACAGCCGCCGCTGCTGTGAGCAATTAGAGGCCACTCACGGTCCTTGCCCTGTGGCCATTTCCGTCTTCAAATTCGGCTACAGAAGATCCTCCTCACATTGAACCCCTTTTGCACTATTTTTTAAAAAAATTTTTTAAAGAATAGTTTCTTGGCTTTTAGAGAGAGAGGAAATGGGGAAGAGAGAGAAACATCGATGTGAGAGCATAACATCAATCAATCGCCTCCTGCACCCCCCCTACTGGGGATCAAGCCCACAACCCGGGCATGCGCCCTGCCTATGAATCAAACCTGCAACCCTTCTGTGCATGGGACAATGCCAACCACGTGAGCCACACTGGCCAGGACAAAGCCCAGTCTCTTTTACAAGCTCAACTGATTTCAGCCCATGGGGACTGGACCACACCATCGGTGTCCATTGTATCCACAGTCCTTCAAGGGGATGGCAGTTCACAGTGGTGTGGGTCACTGGGGTCATCTTAGAATCCTGCCTGCCACGGGGTTCAGAGGCTCGGGGGGCTTTGTCCCGTTCGTGGGGGTGGTAATGATGGTGGCCGTCACGGCCCCATTCTCTGTGCTTTACACATATGGTCTCATTTTGATGCTTGTGGAAGCCCCACACAGATCATGTATTTGGCCAAATATTACAGGTGAGACACCTGTGGTTTAGAGCGGTCAGGTGCTTGTCCAGGGTGGCCCAGCAAATGACCGAAGTGACTGCTCATGAAGCAGGGAGTGTCACTCCCATCAGGTGGCGTGACGGAGGTCCACATTCGAATGGCCCCAGAACAGGCCTCTGTCTCCCTAGAACCTCTCCTGTCCCCGCTCCTCACTCCCTCTTGCATGGATTTGCAGAGCTACAGCTGAACTTAAGTCCAAGGTGGATGCTTTGATAGTGATCATTTTTCTGCCTCCCTCCTGACCTTTGACTCTCTCACTACCCTTTGAGGGATAATGAATGGTAAGGAGGAAATTGGCTGGTGTCAGCTTCTGGAAAAGCCCGTTTTAGACTAAACTTACGTTTAGTTTAGCCAGCTCATGGCTTATGTTCAGACAAGTAGAATAGTTTTCTTTTCTATCGCCCCTGATTGCCAAAGAATGCAGTCCCGTCGGAACGTTTTCCAGGTAGCCGTGCGGGCCTGTCCCCAGGGTGCAATCCACAGTGCAGCCGGTGGCCGAGGTCCCCGAGTGCCAGCAGCCAGCAGGCTGTGGTGACCTGACCACGTTTCACTCTCAGAGAAAGTCACGCTCCTGCTTACGTTTCATAAGCTTTTGCCATCTTTTGAGTTTTCTAGTTCCTGACATCATTTTTGGTTTAAAGAAAAATTCCTCCGCCTTCTCGCGAAGTGATTATCATGGTGTATAGGTATGAACTTGAGTCTGTGTCGTTTCGCTCCATTTGCGGTTGTGAGTGATTAGCAATTAATTCTCAGGTTTAAAAGCGAAGCACACCTAGTGAAATAGGCCAGACGCAGAAGGACAAATGTCGAGTGATTGCACTTTTTTGAGGTTCCTGGAGGAGTCAGATTCATGGAGGGAGAAAGTAAAATCACGGCGGCCAGGGGCTGGGGGAGGAGGAACAGGGAGCTTGTGTTTCTTGGGGACAGAGCTTCAGTTTGGAAAGATGCGAAAGCCCTGGAAATGCATGGTGGTGATGGTTGCCCGGCATTGTGAATGCACTCCATGGCCGCACGTACACTCAGGAGTGGTTACCATGGTAACAGTTATTATACTTTATCACAATTTTAAAAAGAGAAGCCCAGCTATCGGGGCTCAGTGGTTGCGTGTTGACCTATGAGGTCAGGAGGTCACAGTTCAATTCCCGGTCAGGGCACATGCCTGGGTTGCAGGCTCGATGCCCAGGAAGGGGTGTGCAGGAGGCAGCCGATCAGTGGCTCTCATTACTGATGTTTCTATCTCTCCCTCTCTCTTCTTCTCCCTGAAATCAATAAAAACATATTTTTTTAAAAAATAGGAAAACTGATGTACATGAGCCCCGGCATCACTCTCAGCACTCAGGGTCCAGACCAAGGGTAAGGTCCACTTACTTAATCAGAAGCCAGCAGGTTTTTCATCTCCAGCTTCGGAGCTGGACAAACAAGTTTGTCGGAGCAGGAACCGTGAGGCTCTGCCGGAACCTTGTTCCCTAAGGGCAGAGACCTCAAATCGTGTGTCAGGAGACCCCAGGCCCAGCACTGCGCATGCACAGAGACAGGTGGACTGGGAGGGTTTGAGCGTCTCATCAGAGAACGTTTTAAGTAGTTAGCAACAGTTTTTCTGAGTTTTAACATTTGTTTTATTGTGGCATACAATTAGTACACAAATCTTAGGTGTACCACTTGATAAATTTTATGTATGTTCATGCACATATATATATGTATATCTGTGTGTGTGTGTGTATATATGTAGCATACCTCTATATACACAAATATCCTTGTGTGTATCATTCTAGTACCCCAGAAGTTTTACTGCTACCTCTTCCTAGTTAATACCAGTCCCCCAGAAGTTCATTTATACCAGCAGAGATTGGTTTGTCTTCTTTATTATTTTTTTAATATGTTCTTTTTATTGATTTCGGAAAGAGGAAGGGAGATGGAGAGAGAGAGAGACAGAAACATCAGTGATGAGAGAGTCATTGATCGGCTGCCTCCTGCACACTCCCTACTGGGGATCGAGCCCGCAACCGGGCACGTGCCCTGACCGGGAATCGAACCCTGACCTCCTGGTTGATAGGTCGATGCTCAACTGCAGAGCCACGCCGGCCAGGAAATTAGTTTGTCTTCTTGAACTTGATAGAAATGGAATCATACAACATGTAGTGTTTTCTTGTTTAATTATCACCTTGCCTTTTATCAGAAGACCTTGAACAACTATTTAATCTATTTAATCTCTGATGGCAAAGTGAGGCCTTTAAACTGAAG